GAAAATGGTTAATACACCCAGCATCTGGATTAACCATCTTCAGTTGTCTGAAAAGTTAAAGCAGCATCTCGCTGCAGCTGAAAACTTGACTGAGCCTTTAGAAAACTCAGCATTAAAATAGATACATTATTAAAATAGAATATTCAATTTCACACATACGGATACAGAGAAACTAAAAACATCTTTTCCTTAAATTGATACTTCTAGTGCAATTAAATTAATATTTAAATCTAAACTGCATGCTTGCAGCTGTTGAAAAGCAATTATGTCATTAAGCTCTTGGTCTAGATCACAGGAAATACCGTTTTACTCCACCCATATTGCTACAACATAAAAGTACTGATTTATCTTGGCTTTGACCGAAGTAACATAAAACTGACAAAATCCGTTGCCAGAAACCATACGGTACAAAATTTTGTATGTTACACGAATAGACTTACATGTACACAAACATAGCATCTAATAATTCAAAGATATTTTCTTTTATATTTCAAAATACAAAGTTAATACCTGCCAAGCAATTGTTTCTGCAGAAACTCATTAAACTTCATGAATTACCTATAACGCTCCTCCCTCCTTGTCTACCTTCTTCAAATTTATCTTAGAACTGTTTAGGTTAGGTATTAAGGGTATGTATCACCGTGGATAAATCACTTTGAGGTTTGAGGTAGATTCAGCTATTTGGAGCTCCTTCAGTTTTCTTGGAATTACAACAGACTTGTATTTGTTTCAGATGTTAAAATATCAGCTTAAAGTATATCAGTAGAAAACCAGTAGATAATATAAAAAAGACAAAAATTTTAAACCTTTCATTCCTAAAAGTCTTCAACAAGACACCAAATGAAATACAACATCACAGTCAGAACCAAGGGAATGCCAACATAAGCAAGCAGTTATGAAAAGCTTTAGGTTTGAGGATGTTTCTTCTACATATAGCATACAAATTGAGCAGTCATAATGAATTTCGGCCTCTACAAGTGTTACAGTTATGAATACCTCTGTTCCAGCAAAGTGTACAAGATTATTATGAACAAACTAAGAACGACTGGTGTGAAACACTTTATCAGGAAAAACAAGTCACTATGATTCATTCCATATTTACTATTGCTCTGGATATTATGTATGGAAATCACCCATGTTCATCTGGGAAAGCCAAAAGCATAAAGAAGGTGAGGGAGAAGCATCTGCAAAAGCCAATTACACAAACAAAATAATTCAAAGCTATCCTGTAATCCTTCTTTTCCAGCCACCAATGGAAAAAATACTAGGTTTTCCTGGAAATTTTCCCTTGAAATAATTGACAAGTAAATGGCAATAAATATTTAATATTTTTTTCAGGGCTTCCCCCCCTGTTTTTTAAATGGAAAAAGAAGCAGAAGAAAAACAATTCAGGTATAATACTGTTACTACACACAGCCACATCCAATTCCAATATTACCTCAGTTACAAACAAGCTTTGAGCTTCCTTCTCTGCATTTTCAGGAACTGTTGAATGAATGTATCGACTCTGCCGCTTCAATAATGCTGTCTGATAAACAACAAAAACAATTAATGAAACTTGCAATTAAAGGAAAGATGATGCATTATGGCAACACTCAGTTATATCACTATAACTAAGACAGAAGCTCAGCAGAAAATATCCTCTGAATACACTGTTTCAGAAGAGCCAATTAATGAGAATTTGCTTTCATTCAAAGATTATCAACGTGTTCCTTCTTTCACAGTGAGGGCAAGATTGGAATCAGTAAGAAATAGATGCCACAAAAAAATGTTTTCCCCTATTTTGTTAACATGGGCAAGAAAATACTAGTAAAAATAATTCCACCATGATAACATAACTCCAACATTTTGAAGACAGACGTTAAGGAGGTGTAATTACTACATATAAAAACTATTACTCAAGAAAAGTAACAAACTCACACCAAAATAAGAAGAGTAGTTCAACTACAGATCTCAGCTGGCAAAAAAATGAGACTTGCACTGTTAAACTGAAGGTTTAGAAAGAAGGCCTGGATCACTGAAGTGTACACTACAGCCTATCAAGTCAGAACTTATTCCTATTCTATGCTGGAGTTCAGAGAGGCATAGAAAGGCTGCCAGAGAGCAGAAAATCTCTCTGTGACCATGAAATTCTGCTTCTCAGACCAGCACTAAAGTAAGCCTTAAGGTACTTTAAATTTGTAAGTGTAAAAGATGAAAACTTTACAAAATCTTCTGGACCACAAATGAAAATAACTACATGGCAATAGAAGTTCTTTTGCACCATGTGGAAAAGAATCTCACAGCTTAGGTCATCAGACATGGACAAGGGAGTTTGCATAGCTTGGAGCTGGAAGGGGTTGTGATCCCTCACCTATTAGCTACACTCCACGCATTGCAGCACCAGGAAGGATCAGAGAAAAATGTGAAAAGAAAAAACTCCACATATTAATGGTCAAAAAGAAAGGGTGCACAAGTACATTACCTTATCTCTGTTGAGAGTTTGATCCATAAGGTGATTATTTCTGTCATTACCAAAGCCTCACCCCATTGTCTGGGGAGGCTATTTGAAGTTAGACTATTCAAGTACAGTAAAGATTTAAAGAAAAAAAAAAATTATCCCATACTCATGGTCAAGTCATTCATCTAGTCCAGAACTCTGCTGAAAAGCGACAATGCTAACTGCTTGGGTGGGAGAGGTGGGGAAGTATTAAAAGCAAAAACCATAAAACCAAAAATATTTCATGGGACCAATAAATCTTGCAATATACAGTTTAAAAAAAAAAAACCTGCAAGATGATACTCATTCATGTGCTAACAGCATTTAAGAATGAAGTTTTCTGAATTTTAGAAACATATTCCTTATTTCAAACCATATTGAGCTTAAAGTATTTGTTTTCACAAGCTACAGGAAGAAAGATTATTAAGAGTATTAAGCTACCTTACAATAGCTAAAAGCCAGAATGTCTAGGTCCTCTTCTCAGCCTGAAATAGTCTGATATTTGATAGGAAATTATTTATATTTTAGATGATGCTTTTTTTAGAAAAAAAATATTATTTTAAAAAACCCAGAGACTAGGATGGCATCTTTCCAGGCACTTATCATGGGAAAGCCATGAACTCATGAATCAAGTCCTACCACTATAGTGGAACTCAGTAAAATTGAACTAGCGGTACATACTTCTAGAACATCTGCTGCTGTTATCCTACTGCACAATTATCAATACGATAGTAAGGGTTTTTTTCTAGTCTTTCACATATAAAAAAATTTATCTTAGTACTGTAGCAAGATCAGTGACAAAACAGATGAATTTAATTTGTCAATTTTGTCCATATTAGTAACTGTCTTAATGCATGCTGCCTCTTTCTCAGCTCACCCATCAGATGCAGTAGTTCATCAGAGAGGCAGGAAATGCAATGAGTAATATCTTTTGATTTGGAGCAAATTCCTAAAAATAATTACTAAAGCAACAGCACAACAATATTTTAAAATGCAAGCATGCACATACATATACATTGTATTCCAAAAGAAAAATTAGGAAGGAAGGATTGTCATCTCTACAGACTTTCTTCACAACTACATTGGTTGAACTGTTTCATAGAAGTGAAATGTTTCAGCTCTCTGGGTTTGAGTTACCATTTGATTTATGGCAGCATCAGGAACTACAGTGTTTGTCTCATGCCCTCAAAGAAGATAAAAAAACCCAACACCTTTCAATTACTGTTTGACAGCACAGTAATTGAAAGGTTTTTTTAATCTTCTTTAAGGAAGACAGCTTTTAACGCTAGCCAGGATTCACACGTACTACTGAGGCACACAATTAACAGACTCTTTTACTGATACTACTTTCTAAGTGATTCTCAGGGATTTAGGGTAGTAGCACTATATGCTGAGGTTTCAGAGAAGGCCACAGCAGAAAGGACATTTCACCAAGTCTCACAGCCAAGGAGTACTTGCTACTCAAAACCTGATGGAATACAGATAGTGAATCTGTCCACAATCAGTACAGACTGCGATGGATATAGTTTAAGATTTCCAAACTCTTTCTGTCACAAGGTTGTGTTTGCTAGTGAGACTTAGCGTTACTTCAGATTTGGGAACGTATAACCAATTTGAAGCTAGATTTCCCATTTTACTTATCTCAGGCTAGAAGGTGTTTTCATGTTCTTGACAGTTTTAGCAAATGGCTCTGTTTCTGAGGTTAAAAAAAATAATACATTTTACTGATGTTAAAATCTGGCATGCAATTTTCTGAGTCATCCTAGTCCTCCTTCCCCAATGCTTTAGGGCAAAGTAATAGCAAGATGGCCAGGGTTCTTAAGACAAACATGCTTGTAGGTGGCACTAAAGAACTGCCAAAAGACAGCCAAGTACTTTGTAGTGGGGTGTCTTAGCAGAATGCGTATTTAAGTATTTAAAATGAATGTATATATGTGTAGCTATGGTAGGCCTTTTTCCAGGTCACAGTTTATACAAAAGCCAATGCTGCAAAGTACTAATCAACAAAATCAGTGTTTAGTTCTATCAAGATGAAAAATAAGCATGTGTAAATTTTTCATATACAAAATATTTAATAAAATAAAAAAAAATCCAAAACCAAATCACACACAAAGAAGTAGTTCTCAAAATTATTCAGTTCGTTTTGGGAAATAAGGTGCCAACACCTACATTTCTATAGCAAAAAATAATGGCAGATCTTAAATTACCAGTGTTTTGTCTAGTGTAGGAAGGTATCTTCCTCAGCAATTCTACACTGAACAACAGGTCCACGTGCAGATATTTTAGAGGAAAGGACTACAGTAGGTGTAGGTAAGAGACAGAAGACAGCCAACACACAACATTCCTCAAGTCCATTTGACCTGTCTTCAGACATATCCATTTTGGTTTGTTATTCCTTAGCTTTTGCCTTTCTCCCTCCTGTGTTTTTAACATGGGTGTTTTATATTTTTCTCTCCACTTTGGAGGTGTTCAAGTAGGTGTCATCTCCTGCTCTGTAAATTTGACAGTGTCGACCTAGTGACAGCACTCTCATTCTATGCAAGTCTCAGCAGCTACAGTGAACAGAGAAAGTACAAAATATTGCTGCTGACACCACATACTCGCTGCCAATACCTGTTTTAAAAATTATTTTTTCCTCTTCACACGCTCTTTCCAGTGTTGGTTGTTGAATATGAGCTAGTAAAATTTTCCCCCCAAACCACTTCCCCCTCCACATCCCTTTAGGATGCTTGAAATTATTAACAGTTGATTATTCAAAATACTGGGAAAATTCAAAATACTGGAAAAGGAAAAAAAAAAGCCACAACAGTGTACAAGTGTATATATAACCAATAGAGGTTTATTAATAAAGTCCTGTATCTTACTGGTAAAATTGGGACTATGCAAAATGCAGGAAAAATGGGGAGAAAAGTACAGGGTTTCAATTCAACAGTCACGTACCCAGGCCATCCTTACTTTAGATGATGTTACACAGAGGCAAATGCTCAAGAAGCAGTGACAGAAATTGTTTTAAAAGAGTCAATGGAAAAGATGGCACGCTGTATGTTAGATCATGCCCTTAAAGCTACTAGGTGCCAGAAGAGACTTATCAGTTGTATGGGAAGTGTCAGAAGCTGTATTATAAGGTAATTTCCAAACTAAATTGAAGCCTTGACTTAGAATAGTTGGTTAAAGACTCAAGGAAAAACACAAAATAGATTTTAAAAGAAAAAAGTCATAGTGAAATTTCTTTGAACATTTCAGTATGTTATTGTATCTTGACCAGTTTACTTTGTGCTCTCTAAAATGAGAATGTTACTTGAACATTTTTTTGCTTGTTCCCTCTACTCAAGATGTGTCTTCTTGTAGAATGAGCTGGGTTTACTTTTATTTGTGCAAAGTTGGCATAATATCTATTTTCAGAGGTACTTAACTCGCATTAACTAAAAGCCAAACGCCTTAAGTGAAAGTGTGCTAAATCCATATGGCTCAAAACCAAAAGTAACAAAGGTGAAACGATGTCTAAGCTAGGCACCAAAATGCCTTCAAAATAACAGTGGGATAACTTTGTAATGCCATATTTAATTTGGGTAGGAATGTACCCACATTGTATTTGCTACAAGTACACTTATCCTGTATTAGGAAAAATATTTCTTATAAGAATGGAGGTAGTACTCAGAAGTTAGGTATTTTGAAACAAAAGCATTTAGATACAAGGTGTCTTATTGCAAACTAATCACTACTATAGTTTTGGGTTAAGGTTTCTTTTAATAATTTACCTACTATGCAGTTAATGTAAACATCACCAATTTCGCAGTCATTGAGCATATGATTTTAATGCGATCCATGAAGGTGGCCTGTTTTAAACTAATGCTATTTAGTTATGAAGCTATTTCATTATTGAATAAATTACTGAAATTCAGGTGACTTGGAATGATTATAATAAGCCATGCAGAGGCACAAAATTGGATACAAGAGTACCCAATGGATATAGTCATTCAAGGTTATGAAAGAGAAGACTCTTCTCAGCAAGAGTCTAGAAGAGGTATAGGCTTGAATGACTGACAGCACTGTAATTGAGAGTAGCAAGAACATTAATAGGAGATGATCCAATGGGTGGCAGGAAAATGGTTCTATCATCTTAATTAAACAAACACATTATACAGGGACCATAACGAAAACCAAACAACAACAAAAAAGCAGCTAGAAATGAACAGACTACAAAGCACAAAGGTACTGAAAGTTTAGACAGTCCAATTACTAAGAATGAAAGCAAACTCAGTGATGTTAACAGTGAAACAGTAAACAGTAAAAAGGATCATGGCAAACACAACATGGCTGCCCCTATAAATTTGATGAGAACAAGTTAGGGAATAACCTGATTAGTGAATTCAGTGCAGAAAACTCAGAACTTGAGCTTGTGAAAAGCAACTGAAACAATCTTGAAATGGTAAATTAAAAAATGACCCAATATGTGAAGAGAAAGTTGCTGATAAAGAGCTCTTCTGGAAACTAGAGAAAAGCAAATCTTGCTATTATTTGGCTATGATGGCATCAAGGAAAACGTAGAAACTCAAAAGAAGGAAAAAAATTACAAACCTACTTATTTGGATTTGAAGATTAGCACGAAGCAGGACAAAAATCATCCTTTTCTGGATGATATGAGCTGCTACCAAACATATATAAAAGGAGACAAAACAGGATTCATAACCTCAGCTAACCAAGTTTAGGATGATAGCAAATGCATTTAAGCGGAAATCTGGAAAGGTTCACGTAACTAGATCAGTTGGCTGAGGAATAACCCTTCAATCTTCATGAGTTTTCCCAGAGCAGAGCATTTTCTGCCCCATCCTTGCTCAAATATTTCTTTGGTAATGGTTTGAGCTTAGAGCTACTTTCTGACAGCATGTTTGGAGAACAGTCACAGCTGAACAGAAAAAGGTGACTTCCTGGGGTTTTTTCCTTTCCCTCACTAGGTGAATAACTTTCCATCTGGAGAAAGAAAAGCAAGCTATATGTGGTCCAAAGAAGCCAGCTGCTGTGCAAGCTTTCTTTTCCGATATGGATTAACAATTCATATCAGTTCTCCTTTAATATTTAGCTTCTCTGAGGTAGTAAGAGTTACAAACTGAACGTGGCACTGACCATGACCACAGAACAAGACATTATAACATTTGTTATAAAAACCTTGCCTTTGAATTCCTGCAAGTATTGTTACTAGTTATATGAAAAACACAATTATTAAATTACATTTCAGTTATCTAACTGCATTACCTGAAAAAAGTTATCCAAATTATGCACATTTGTCTCCAATTTCTCGCAAAATAATTTCAACCGTAGCACAAATTCAATAGTGTTATCAATCTGCCTCTTTGAAACTACGTAACAACTTCTACAATTTTCAGTAGATTACAGAAGTGATATCTAGTGCTGAAAAGTATTTTCTGTGCTGTTTTAAGCGCTAGTTTTAAGGCCATGCTGGTAACAAAACAACCTTACTCTTAATGTCTTTATAAATTATCAGGGCTTGGCTTCCTTTTTAGGCAAGTGTTTTTTAGATTGTAATCAGTTTAACCTAAGCACGAGGAAAAACTTTGTAAAAATAAAAACTAAATGCTCTAAGAGGAAATGGCTTGAACAGGTTTTCAGACAATGGTAGGAGTTTCCGCCTATAAACTGTTCTAAGTGTGTATACAGGTAGTTCTAAATACTCTAGCTCACTATTTTAAATTCATCTTGTGGGGGATAAGGGCCGTATCAAACATATGAGCCGAGGCTTATCCAAGAGCTGCCCACACATTGTGTGACAGCAACAAGTTAGGAAAAAGGAATTAAAAAAACCATGTGAACCAGAATGGCAAACACCGAAAATATGCCATTATTTAAATGATTCAAATGATATTGGCAACCATATTAAGACTAATGGTTTCAAAACTGTAAATATGATTATGGAAAACTGAACCGGGTTAAAAGGTTTAACTTGCAAAAAAAATAAATAAAGCACATAAGGGATTTCTGTTCTGTGACTCGGTAATATTTTCTTAATACACTGAATGACAGATTTAAATGCATTGTGTTGCTGAAAACAAGCTAGATAGATCAAAGTAGTATTGGAGAGTCATGTGTACAATAAAAATATTTGGAGTAAGTTTGTGCCAGCAAATCCTAGAAGGAAATAAAAGTTCGATAGCTTAATAATGAAGTTTGATAGTACAAACTAGTCTTCATATAAATCAAGTATAAAATGAGACCCTGCCAAAGACTATATAGAGGAAACGCAGAAAATGTATTCAGATATTACACTGCTGAGCGATAAAGAAACAGGAAATCTGACTATATGCCAAACTTGTGACTACCTGAAGGAAATCCTCTGATGTAACACACGCTTCAATGACTGCCTTGATGAAAATCTGACCATAGAATCCAAACAAAGGATGACAAAAGGCATTACAGTTTGTGAACAAAATTCAGTCATCCCCTTTACAGGATCAGACTGAGAACTATGGACTAGCTTCAGTCATATAGGCCTGAGGTTAAGAATTGCAGAAGGCCACTTGAAACAGCAGTTAAACACTTCAGACATCCCCCAGACTGCTCAAACAAAATGCCTGAGGATATTCTTGATAGGTTTCTTCTCCATTGATAATTCAGAGCTGTTCCCCAGGATGACCTCTGATAATTGAACTAGTTAATTAGATAAGAGTACGCTTAGCAGAAGTATCCTTGATTCCTCTTGATCTGCGATACTGAAGAGACACGCTGTGGAAGGGGATCTGGCTGATAATAGCCCACACATGCGTGTCAGTCCCAAAGCCAATACCTGATGTACAGCATCATCATAAATGGTCTAGGATTTGAACACTAGTATCATTAGATAACGTTCATAGGCAGCATGACTTCCTTTTGTAAGAAGTCTTACTTGCAGTCCTTCAAAACTTTCACATGTGGCTGAGAACACATGAAGCCCAAATGACTCTAAATACCTGTAGCTTGCTAAAACCAGAATTTTTAGCTCAGAGTGGGAAGGCTACAAGTAGAGTTATTCACATAAGAATCAGTGATAATGAAGCACATAGACTATATTAAAAACAGAGTCCAGGTGCACTCCGGTAAATACTTTAATAGGCTAGAAAGAATTTGTGAAAAACTCAACATGTGTAATTTATGGGACTTTATATGCCCTTCTGCAGAAAAACACCAACACATCACCAACTTTCCCCATGATAAACACAAACTACTTGGCTGAATAAAGTGCTCAGCTTTTCAGATAGGTTTTTGCAGAACAATTCTAAGGTATTCAACTATGATACAGTCCCCAGAAGTAGTTAATTTACAGACAGTTCAGATGTCTGCATACTTTTCAAATATAGGCAGACATTCTGACTGCAGGTATGGGCATGTGTGAGAGACTTTCCTCACTATTTACACCAACTCCAGTCTCTAAGATGTTTGGTGGTTATCCTAACTGGATCTACAACAAGATTCAAAAAAGTGTATTTAAATAAACTTTATTTAATAAACATGGTTATTTTATAGAAATATATCAAGATGATCACAAATCTTGGTAAAGTCTGGCTTAATCAAGTCAGAGCACTGTTATGTAGAGGGTATTTTGCCAAGACCCAATTTTGGCTGGTAAAACACAGCTGAGAGTAACAGCTTTCATTTGAACAGGTTCATGGCCTTCACTGTTAAAGAGGGGGAAAAAAAAACCAAACCCAATTAATTTAAGAATTAAAGCACAACAAAATGCTTTTTTTGAAGAAACATCACATGATTTCCTATGTCAGAAAGGGGGGGAAATATCTAAAAATGACTGATCACCTACTTCAAAAGGCAGTAAAATTGCTGAGTTGCAGAAGTAGACCTTATAATCTGAATGGATGAAGAAATTGTACTATTTCTTCTTCTGTAACGTGACAGAATAAATCGAGCAGTGTAAACTGACTCATGGCAAAGATTTTTTTTTTTTTAGCTAAAGAGTTAAAAAAACAAAGAAATGGGAAGTTATCATCTCATGACTACTACTGCTAAAAATCTTTTAAAAAAAAAAAAGAAAGAAAGCAGGGAGAGGATTAAATTACCTGAAAGTCGTCATAAGGGAACAGTAGCATCTCACGTAAAGCGTCATTCAAAATCTGCGTTTTCCTCTGAACGATGACATTTTCATAGTCTATTGGTTCTATGAGCTTTGGTTTTGCCTGGGGGGGGGAAAGGAAAATAAATTCAGGTATTTCAAGGAAAAATTACAATTGTTGACTCATTTTAAGAAGTTACTCTTTAAAAAGTTGGCAGAATGAGATTTCATCTACATCAAAAACTTACAGCATTCAAAATGCAGACTTTATGTCACACTATACTACATGTATAAGTGCAACTGATAATTACAGACACAAGCATGCTATTTGCCTCAGAAGGAAGAAACAACTATTTCACAAAACACACTAAGTCAGAGCTTATCAGAATAATCACATATGTATTTTCACTGCAAAAAAATTATAAAGAAATTACTAGTCTCTTATATTGGTGGTTACCTTTGCTTGATACTGCCTAGAAAGCTCTGACCTCGGTTTAGCAGGGATTAAAACAATCTTAATTCAAAGATAAGACTGAACTTTAATTCAGTAGTAACCTGCAGTAGGGGTAGGCTAATTGACATTCCTCCTTCTCCATAGTTTTTTCAAAATTCCCATAGGCCATTTGCTTCCTCTTGGTTGCATGAGTAACTTTCATCAGTTACTATGCATTGATTCAACATTTAAACCCTATACCGCTGTCAAGGCATTACAGCTGGCTGTGCACAATCAGACAGAGAAAAACCTTCACCCTGCCAAGCATTCTGTTAAGTGGTCAGATGGCAAAGAAGGTTTAGAGAGAACTCTCAATGAGGCAGCACTGCCTCGGAGCGTGCAAACTAATGCAAAGCTGGAGTTACAATCTAGCTTGCACTTTCTGCAACTAAAATTGCATATCACAGTATCAGACATAAAATTAAATTGCATATCACAGTATCAGACATAAAATAACCTTTTTTTTTCTTTTCTTTTTTTTTTTTAAACAAGTGGCAATTACAAGATACTTCCCAATTGATACTTTATTAACATCAGTAGTACTAATTTCAAAGTAAGGTATATTAAACATAAGAACAGCAGCAAAGCTAGCTTATGCCATCATTATAGCTGATCAGACAAGATGAGATTTATATCTGTATTTCCATAACTTATGTTAATAACCTTTGACATTCCAGCTGTACTGCACAGAATAAATATCTTTATGTTCAGCAGAGCTCAAAGGGTTGTAGTGAATGGGGCTACATCTGGCTGGCGACCGGTCACCAGCGGTGTTCCTCAGGGTTCACTTCTAGGGCCAGTCCTGTTCAATATATTTACCAACGATCTGGATGCAGGAGTTGAATGCACCATCAGCAAGTTTGCTGATGATACCAAACTGGGAGGTGCTGTTGCCTCTCTTGAGGGACAGGAGGCCTTGCAGAGGGATCTAGAGAGATTGGCGCATTGGGCTATGATTAACGGGATGAAATTTAACAAGTCCAAATGCCGGATTCTGCACCTAGGATGGAGTAACGCCGGGCACAAGTATAAATTGGGAGAGGAGTGGCTGGAGAGCAGCCCTGCAGAAAGGGATCTGGGGGTGCTGGTCGACAGCAGGCTCAATATGAGTCAGCAGTGTGCCC